GAAAAAAAAATTATAAGAAAAAATGTCATAGGGGTTGATTATTTCAACCCCTTACAAAAATAGTTCAGGGTTGAAAAAATTTCAAAAAGTGTAGTTTTATTGACAGATAATGTTCACCAAGTTTGGTTTCTTTAGCTTGATGTACGTGGAAGATAAAAAAGAAAAACAATTTTTTTTTTGTAATTTTTGGAGGGGCGTAACTTTTAAGGGGAGGGTTTTTTCAAAAAATTTTATACCAAAGACCCCTATTAATTTTCATCGGAGAATCGCCCTTGAATTTTTTCGGTGTTATTTAGATACACCCTGTATAACCGAACGAAGTCAGCCTCGGATTAACACAATAAATTTTCAGGTCATCTGCATAAAGAAGGCATAGCACGTCTATTATACTAACATCATTTATAAAAATATTAAATAATAAAGGGTCCAAGTTGCCAATATTAATTGCCTTTTAAAGATACGTAAGCAGGGCTTGTTTTACGTTTAGAACATATTCTCATGTTTACAAGAACATATTTTGCTATCTTTATCTCTAATCTCTAATTTATCTTTGCCATTTTATCTCTAATGCTATGAGAAATTTGACTAAAACTGTATTAAACTAGCAAAATACAGGGTATAAAAAATGTTAAAACAAGGAACACTCTAAAATATGAAGAAAAGGTACATATGAATATATATCGCGAAACTACAGTGCTTCTGTGCTACTAAAATTTTTGCAGAAATAATATTTTCGCAAAAAAAGAGATGAAAAAAAAGTTTGTATGAATGTTCCATATGTGGCGTCAAGCATAAAAAAACTTAAATGAAATTGAAAGAATTAACAAAGGAAAGGGCTTACAAACTACTAGGTTCAGTTCTAATTCGTTGCGGTCTTCGCTGTTGTGGAACTTGCAAGTTCTACAACTGATTCTGCATACCTACGACCTACAGCAAGCTTTTGAGATAGTCCCAACTAAAGTAGTCCAACATATTCACATCTAAGTGGTTATCGACCTTCGAACTGTTCCACCACGTCCAATCCGCCTTTGTTCGTAAGTTTCATTTAATTACTTCATTGCTTCAGAATCGGTAAGATATGAGGAGGAGCACCATCGTACATGAACCACAAACTATACCATACAGTGACACGTTTTCAATTAGTGCCAGTAACATCTCTCGTAAAAAGAAGGACCATTTATTGACTGAACAGGTCCTATGAAGCTGTTCCTCAGAGTACCAGTTCAGTCCATGCATGTGGATTCTGGTGATACTGTGTGATATGAAAATTTCGCCCATCATAAATCCTACAGTCTGGTGGATTGAGTGTTTGTGAGTTGTAATCCGACTAAGCTTAATTCCACAGTTTCCTCCTACTTTTCTCTCGGTGTGGAAACAGATCTAGATTTGTACCAAATTTTCCACTGTCCCGGACTCGCTGATGAAGTCTGGTGAATATTGGTGCAGATAGAACTGGACAATTAGGACAAGACGACGAGCATCAACTCCATTACCATTGGCACGTCCATACATACCTGTAAATGCATGTCTGCCATTTCTGCTTTGGTGTATCATTAAATCGTCTTTTTTGATTTGAAATGTCAAGAAAAAAAAATCTACTACCGACTTTTCAAAATCAAATAAATAAACTGGTAGAACGTTATAAAGTATAATATAGTTTTTAATTTTTTATGCATAATTACGTGACACTAAATTATTAAAAGGCCTACTTGAATGAGTAATTTCTACTGTGTCAAAATGATTTGATTTGCGATGGTTATATAAAATGCATTTCAATTTTTCTTTTCTATTA